CTGCCTTCAAGAATTATGCCTGAAATGCAAATGCAACGATACGCCCGCTGTGTACCGATGTCCTTTCTCGCACACAGCGAAAGTCCCCACGCTTCGCGCGTGTCAGTTACCCCAGAACCGAAGTTTTAGATCATTTTATGCTTTTCATATCCGAAGTTAGGGCTAAGAATGACATAAACATGGACGGGATGGACCCTGCTATTGTCAATAATCAACCTTATAGTCACTATTCAGATTGCCTATACAGGAATTCCAAAAGCTACTACTGTTTCTGATCAATTCAGCATCAGTGTTAGTTTGATTGTAGTGTTTATCTTTATGGAAGTACGCATTTCTTTAGCGTCGTCAGCAGCCACTGGACTTGACGGATAAAGCCAGTGTCATTGGCTTCTCTCAACTTAACTCCAATGCTTCAAAATCGTATCCTATCAACTCTGCTTCTTCTACTGTTTATCATCCATTTGCGCATACATATAATGTTCCAAAGCAAAAGAAGTATGTATGATTCACTAGTTTTTTCTTTTTCCACTAAAATCCTTTCATTTGAGGAAACCATTGCCGGGACAAAGAAAGCCATGCAACTGTACGAAATCAATGTGTCTGAAACTGTACTGCGATTGTTTTGCTAACGGAGAATTTTGTTTGGATTGCAACTGCAAAGACTGTCATAACAACCTGGAACATGATGCTGATCGTTCAAAAGCTATAAAGCAGTCATTGGAAAGGAATCCAAACGCTTTCAAACCAAAAATAGGTACCTTTATGATTGACCTACAACCTGATTTCTAACTTTCTGTCCTCTTTGCTTACGAGAGGTAAGCCGTTGACTGGCTACCAACATTTATGAATACATTCAGGTGTAAAAAGTGGCAAGTTGGATGCGGAAAGACTCCATCAAAAAGGTTGTCATTGCAAAAAGAGCGGATGTCTTAAGAATTACTGCGAATGTTTCGAGGTTAATTTTATTCGTTGAAGTACAGGCCGCACAACTTTCACTTATAGGCAAAAGTCCCTTGCACAAGCCGCTGCAAATGTCAGGGTTGCCAAAATACTGAAGGGGACCGCGCAAGCAGACATGATAGGTAGGTTCTTACATTGAAGTTTTTTTGGCAATTTGGCAGAGCCCATACTTTTTGCATCTATTTAAGGATGAATACAACCAGCTCAGCTTTGATGAATTTGGCACATTCTTCGTCATCTGTCACTACAGAATCTCCATCGACGCTATCGGATAATGATTCCGACACAGAGTCATCACTTCGAAACGATCCCAGATCGTAAGTCTAGTCATGGTTATCTAGTGGTGATGGTAGCGTTTCGGGTTTGATTGGGAGTTGTGGCCCCACGTGCACGTGCAGCCGTGACGAAAGTGGCCCTAGAAAACTGAGCACAGCTGCTTGTTGCGAGGTTCCCGATCGAAACCGGATAGATCCAGCACCGTTTTCATCAACTTTCCAAGTGGGTTTCGCTACTCAGTGGATAAGCGAAAACAGTGCCACTGGATTGAGTCTATATTCATAGAGCACTGCCGCTTCGTTACTTTCTCGCGGGTTACCTGGGTTCCAGAACCCGCTGCGTTCGTTGATAAATTCGGCCACAGAAGTCCACACACATCCTGAGACTTTCAAAACCTTCTCTGACTTAGTCGATAAAAATATTTAGGTACCCATGGTTCTATATGACGGACGAAGTTATTGAGGCTGCAACACTGTGTCTCGTTGCACAGGCTGAAGAATCGGTAGGCAAATGCTTCCTTCTACTATCCGACTAATGAAATTGTTTTAGCTGTCAGGATGTTCAACCGATGCACCAGATAATGTTGTTGAAGAGATGGAACGCATGGTTTTGGGAGAGTTTGGAAGGTGTTTGCAAGAAATTATATCAAATGCTTCTGAATCATAATAAACGCTGTGTATCAGTGTCATTATTTTCCTCAAAATCGTTGACGTCCTTGTATATCTTATAGCTTCCATGTCCTTCGAAATTACTTGCCACCGAGTCAAAAGCAGATTCACTACATTGATATAATATGCCAGTGTTTGTAATTTTTACCTAGTGATATAGGAGAGGCCATGAAGTCCGGTCATAAGGATATTCGGCTTTTCTTTAACGAAGAAATATTGAATACGTAACGTAGTGTCTACTCGTCAGTCATACGAACCTTGCACTAGTTCAGCTCTGTTTTAGAATGGACACAACTACCTGTGGTTCGTATCAGACAGGCACAGCACTACCGATATAGCAACATTTCACAGGCTGTGCTTTCTGTGGTGAACTGAGTAGAGGACCTTCCACTTTGACCACCTGATATTTGCGACGACTCGATCAAGATGCTTGTTTTGGGCGCAAACTTTGTTTTCTTCATCAAGAGTACTGTGGCGGCTTTGGACTTCATTGAGAGAGCTCAACCGCAAGTTGATGCAGTGGCAGACGTATCTTGATAACAAACAAAGCCAAAAGCGTGGTATCAATGCGCACATTTACATCTTACACTCACTTATGAGCTTATCCCTGCTATTTGAAGCTGCACTCAGCTATTTTTGCTCAAAACAACTTTTTTTTACCAGTTCAAGCTAAAACTAGCCTTTCAGGATATTAAATACCATGTTTTTTACATAAACGAAAAATTCAAGATCATCGGGCACCCATGATCCTGTTGACGATCGGACGTATCTAAACACTGCACTCAAGCAGCACCCTCATATCTCTATTATTATGCTACTTTTCCAATAACACAGTTAGTGATGAAATGGAAACGGACTTTCAAAAAAGACTAAAAAGAGATTTTATTAACA